CCGTGATCACCTCTGTCAACAGAGCTCCCACTGTGTAGTCCATTCAATACCCCATGGCCATGAGCATTATCTCAAGCTCCCTGCTCTCACACCTTCAAACCCCACTGCATCCCAGTACAGGAGAGACCAGCTCACAGTTACTCAAGTTCAGGCACATGAGTAACTCATGCGTTTGCTCTCTGTACTAGGTGAGATGGGAAGTCCTTCATCCCTTGCCTCAGTTCCTTGGTCTCCTCTCTATCAGAGGCAACCATATCGATCTGATGCACCCCTCTGGGCATTGTTCCTTAAATAAGCATAATTCATCTGAGGCCACAGAACATCTTGTGAGAATTTTTGTTTATTTTTATATTAATAGTGCTTTTTTGTTTTTGAGACAGGGTCTCACTATGCAGCCCTGGCTGGCCTGGAACTTGCTGTGCAGACTAGGCTTAACCTCGAACTCACAGAGATCTGCCTGTCTCTGCCTCTGGGATCAAAGGCATGTGCTACCTCACCTATAAATAGTACATATTTCAACATATAGCTGCTGTTGTGTGTGATGTATGTGTGTGAGCTTGGGCATACATGTGTCATGGCACACATGTGGAGGTCAGAGGATGGCTTGCAGGGTTGGTTTTCTCCTTCCACTATCAGTTCTAAGACTCCAGCTCAGGTTGTCAGGCTTGCCCAGCAAGTGCTTTTACCTGTTGAGCCATTTCGCTAGCCCTCACAATAGTTTTGATTATGTGTGTGTGTTTGTGTGTGACTGTTCTTGTGTATGCAGATGCATGTGCCTGTAAAGGTCAGAGGACAACCTCAGGTGCCATTCACCTCTCTTTGTTTTTCTTTCTTTCTTTCTTTCTTTCTTTCTTTCTTTCTTTCTTTCTTTCTTTCTTTCTTTTTCTTTCTTTCTTCCTTCCTTCCTCCCTTCTTCCCTCCCTCCCTCCCTCTCTCTCTCTCTCTCCCTCTCCCTCTCCCTCTCTTTCTTTTCGAGACAGGGTCTTTCACTAGCATGGAGCTCAGCAAGTAGGCTAGGTTGGCGCTGCCTTCCCAGTGTTGATATTACAAGCACACCCAGCTTTTTTATTTGGGTCCTAGGAATCAAACTCAAGTCCTTTTTACCCACTAAGACATCTCCCCAGCCCAATATATATGTATATATATTTATTCTATTAAATATTTATTTATAAATAAATGCATCAAATTTTATTTATATATTTATTTATGAATGTATAAATATATATTTAGTTCAATATATATTTAATTCAATAATGCAGTTCAGTGGTGAAGCCCTTACTTAGCATGTGTGAGTCCCTTGGTTTGAGCCCCAGTACGATGGTTGGAATGAGAATGTCCCCCAAAGGCATTCAAAGTGTTCAAAGTGTTCAAATGATTTGAACACTTTGTCCTCAGTTGGTTACGATGTCTGGGAGGTCATGGACTCTTTAGGAGGTATGACCTTGCTATGGAGGAAGTGTGTCACTAAGGGTGGGCTTTGAGGGTTCATAGCCTCACCCCACTTCCAGTTTGTTCTGCATTTGCAGTTGAAGAGGTGAAGATCTAAGCTTCCTGCTCCTGCCACCGTGCCTGCTGATGCCCGCCACGCCTCTGCACCATGATGGACTCTTAACTCTCTGGAACTATAAACTCAAATAAACTCTTTTTTCCATAAGCTGCTTTGGGTCATGGTGTTTTATCACAACAATAAAAAGTAACTAATAGACTCAGCATCAAACAAAATAAATACATAAATCAATTCAATAATGCCATGTAGCTCTTTTCAGACTCATCATTCTTAAAAATTGCATTACATTATTTATTTATTTAGAGGGCAACTTGCAGGAGGAGATGATTGTCTCCTTCTAACATGTGGGTCCCGAGGATTGAAATTAGGTTGTCAGGCTTAGTAGCAAACACCTTTACCCACTGAGCCATCTTACTGGCCCAAATCTTGTTCTTTTTAACTGCTGTAAATATTCTGCAGAATGACTGATGGCTACCTTTCCCAGTAGCAAGGCTACAGGGAGAATACCAAAGGGCCTCCCAGGCCCATGGCTAGTCCTACTGGTTTAAGGAAACCCCTGCCTACCATCATACTGCAGGTTTTCCTGAAACTGAATGCCATGGCCCTGAAACAGGCACACTTCAACTCAGTCCCCTTGTCTAGATGATAATCCCCTCAGATTGCTCACTGCACAGAGATGTTTAACATCTACCAAGACTTGGGGCTGCAGAGACGGCTCAGCAGCTAAAGCCACTGGCTGCTCCTGCAGAGGACCTAGGTTTGGTTCCCCACATTCACATGGCCGCTCACAAGTATCTGCAACTCCAGTTCCACAAGATTTGACGCCTTCTTCTGGCCATCTTGGACATTACACCCATGGGGTGCACTTACATACACGCAGGTAAAACATACACATAAAATAAAATAAATTTTTTTTTTTTTTTTTTTGCTTTTTTGAGACACGGTCTCCCTGTAGCCCCAGCTGGCCTTGAACTCACAGAGATCCGCCTGCTTCTGCTTACTGAGTGCTGGGATTAAAGGCTTGCACTACCACACCTGGCAATAATAATTTCTTAAAGTATGAAATGATCAAACTACATTGTATGCATGTATAAAATTCTTAAACAATTAATAAAAATAACATTAAAAGTATGTGAAATGTGTCCCTTACCACCCCTGCTAGAAAAGCAACTTCCGAAGGGCAATAACACTGGTAATAAGATTTTTGCCAAACTTGAAGACCACCTGTGATTAACTCTTTTAATTTTTTCCAAAAATGTTTTAAAATTTTAAAAACACCAGTTTTCCTTTGCCCTATACAGCAGGCTCTGCGAGACTGTAGGTTCATGTGCTGTTTACACTTTTTTCAAACGCTGACCAGGAAAATACATACTTAATCCTTCTTTTTATGTTCAGTCACAGACCTGTTATTTACAATTATCTTGGACCCCACCAGCAATACATGACACATTTCAAGAAACATTCATTACACTAAAATTAATGAGGCTATGTGAGGTCATATTTACTCCCTGCAAGTTTTAAAAATTACTTTCCTTTTAAGGAAAGACAAGGTCACAAGACAAGTTGGTGATCAGAAAGAAAAACCTTGAGCAAGCAAGATGGCTCAGTGGGTGAATGCACTTGCTGCCAAGCCTGAAGACCCGAGTTTGATCTCTGGGACTCCACGGTGGAAGGACGGAACCAGTTCCTCCAAGATGTCCCCTGACCTCCGCATGTAAGCGATAACATGTGTTAGTGTTCACACACACACACACACACACACACACACACACACTAAATGTAATAACATTTAAAAAAATCTTACTAGAGGGACTCTACTATTTGGGAAACAACTGATTTTTGTCTATGAGAAATTTGCAGTGAGGGACTAAGCTGTCCATCTTCGTACCACTTAACAGTGACAGCTATTTTGAGCCCCAGATTCCTGAGGACATTGTTAACACCAAATATCACCCTGGTGACCCCTCACTCAGCTCTGGACCCAAAGTTCTAGGAAGCTTCTCAAAGCTGATATAGTCCAGGCCTGGAGGGCAAGAACTGGAGTAGCTTAAGCTTTCCTTTACCACTCTCAGTCCTTGTAGAACAGAAACCCAGCTGCCCAAGGCAGGTGAGAGGCCAGGAATTCAGCTCTGCCTCCAACAACCACTCATTAAGCAATGGAGCCAAAAGCATGTCAGAATGGGACATGGAAATCAACTTTCCAAAGGGCAGTAACTCTAGTACTAAGATTTTTGCCAACTTGAAGACTACCTGTGATTACTGACTCTATAAATTTTTTTCAAAAATGTTTTAAAATTTTCAAAATACCAATTTTCCTTTGCCCCTATATGGCAGGCTCTGTGAGACTATAGGTTTGTGAGCAGAGGAAGACTACTGCTCGGTTTCTGTCCAGTTTCCATCCTCCCCACATCCTGTGCCAAGATGAACCAGCTTATGCAAAGTCTGACAGCTGTGTCTGAGAGTCGCCAGATACTCTAGGGAAAGCCATCCATCTTCATCAGAGGCTTTGCCCAGCATTCTTCCATCAGAATGTGAGAATGCAAATCTAGCATATGACGCAAGTGTCCCTTAACCTAAAGACCCCTGGGGCGGGAATCCCACGGACCACTCCCCTGTCACTGAACTCATCTGCTGGTTGAAGCCTGGGTCTGCTGCTAACTTGCTGTGCAACCTTGGACAACCCACACCACCTCTCTGGGTGTGTGCCTAGCTGTCAAAATGAGTCTTCCTAAGTTTCTTGAGTCCTGAAATTATCCAATGTTTGTCCACGTCAGTGAAGCAGAGAAGGGTCCAAGTGACTCTAGAATTCAAAGGTCCTGGTGTCATCACCATCCTTCACAGTCACCAGCCTGGCCTGGGGTGTCAGGTTACCAGCAGGCACTCTGGCTGGGTGGCAGCCCTGCCACTGATATTTTTAGAACCCCCCCCCCAATCTAGCCCTAACAAGAGTCAGATGTGTTCAATCCCTGATTCCACCAGAGGCCTGCCAAAATTCTGTCTAAATCATGTTTTACGGGTACATCTGCAGGGAGCAAGTACCTCACCAAATACTTGGGGTTGAAGGGGCACCCCCTCTTCCCACCATCACACACAAATCCTATTCCTTCCGAGGACAAGCTGAAGGCAACAGCTCCAATTCCAGTTCTTCCTAGGATGACAGCTGCTATTGCCAGTCACCTGTTTTTCTAAGCCGGGACAGACCAGACTCCTCTCTCTCTCTCTCTCTCTCTCTCTCTCCTCTCTCTCTCTCCCTCCCCCCGCCGCTGACTCCTCTAAGAGAGTTCTGCCCCCCTCCAGTGCCAGAGCTGCGACACAGCCCCACCTTTGAGTCATAATGCTCAGCTCTACTTGAGCCACTCAAGGCTTAAGCACCTGCCCCACCTTAGCTGTTGAAGCCTGTGACAGGTCCCACCTGACCACAGACCTGGGCACTGGCTACATGCTACAACACACACATACACAATTAGCTGCCCCCCAGGAGGTGACTGGATTCATGACTGCCTCTCAGCCAGCCTCACCAACCGGCCAGCAGTCCCAAGCCATCCCCTGTGGCCTGGAAAGGTATTTATATAGTTCTGTTGACAGATTTCCTTTCTGGTTGTGTCTGTTGGAGTTCACTGTGACAACTGGCTTTGGCTGCACCTCTTGAAGAGCAGGGAGGCTCTGGGAAGAGGAAGGAAAGTGAGGGCTGGGGAAAGTCGTATGTACCTGGGCAGAAAGAAGAAACACTGGCAGATTGGCCCTGCCTATGGCTACAAACCTGAGGGTCTGTGCAGACACATGCAAGGGTCTAGTGCCTATTTTGAATAGAAAGGAAAAGAAAGAAATCTAGGTGCCATTACCTGTAGGGAGGGAGGGTGTGTGTGTGTTGGGGGTTGTTAAATGATCATGCTCTGTATTTACAATTAAATTCTCCTTTGGGGTAGTGCCATCTTGAAAGGGGGCCTCCCCTGTAGGTGTGGCAGCACCAACCAAGCCAACATCTTCACAGGGCTGATCTGCCTGGCCTTGCCCTGCCCTCCTCCTCCCTACTGGCTCCCTCCTCAGCTTCCCACACAAACACCCTAACCGGGATTGCAGGCCACTCTCAGCTTCTGCATGAGGGACAGAGAAGGCTCCAGGCTGTGGACCTGCTCTCTCTGCTCTCATCTTCCTCCCTGGTTCCTGTGGGGGTGGAGGCGGTAGGATTCCAAAAACCCCTCAGAGGAAAAACAGGTTCAACACCTTCTTACCACCCCTAGTGCCTCCCTAGGCTGTGGGCCCAGCATCTAACTGCCAATACCCCTTGGGGGGAATCCACATCCCCTTCCCCTTAAAGGGTCTCTCCCCCTTCCTACAATCCACCAAGGCATCCCTGGGTGGAAATGAGGGACAGATACAGGGGGTTGCAAGTAGAAATTCTAAGTCTAGCTCTGGCAAATACAGGCTCCACAGCCTTAAATAGTAACCGACTTAGCCAGGTCTCTGGGCCAAGTTTCTCCACCTGCAACAGGGGAGTGTCCTGGGGACAGCCCAGGGTGAGGCTCTCAGGGTGGAGAAAAGGAGGGCCAAGCCCAGCCCACTGCACACCTTTAAGGGTTCTCCACAAGCTCTTCCCATGGGTCTCCCAGGAACCCGGGATGGATCCACCCTATGGAACCTCCACCCTTATCTGAAGGTGATATTCCAAGGAGAGGCCAGTCCCTCCATGCTTCGGCTCTGGGATTTTTCTCTAACCATCCAGAATGACCATAGAGAGGAAGCTAGAGGTATCTCTTCCACTCCCACCCCACCCCAACTCCATTGTGGTAAAATATACATAGCACTTATGATTTAAATCATTTGTAATTGTACAACCTGGTGGCCTGGAGTGAACTCCCAATGTTGTGCAACCTCACCACTACCTGTACCCAAAACTTCATCCTCCCCAACCAAAACTGTACTCATTAAACACTCTCAAATCCTGGTCTGTCTTTGAACTTGCCGCATAAAAGTCCTCTCCAATTGAGGCTGGAGGCTTCAGTACTCCAAGCCCCTCTCGCACTCAACCAAGCCTCCCCTTGCTTGGAACCCATGGGTGGGTTCCCTCCTTCCTTCTAAACCCTCAGCCCTACCAGAGTAGGTAAGTGGGCAGGGGCGTCATCCTTGGAGCACCGCCCATACTAGGCCACCCATAAGGGCCCAGGGAAACCGCTCCTCGCCGCTGGGGGGCGCCATGGAGCCCGGGCCAGAAGCTGCGCGGCCCACCGGGACCCACGGACCCGGCCTGGGTGCAGCGGGTCCTGTCTGACAGGCACCGCTTGGCAACCGGGCGCTGGGGTCCCACATCCCCCAACGGGGCTGCCCTAGACTCTCAGAGCCTTGGGCTGGAGGTTGGTGGCGAGGAGCGGAGCCGCCCCGATTCCTCCCCAAACTTTTCCCGTCCGCTTGGACGCACTAGAAGACCGATGTCTCCCCGGGGTGGTGCGGGGTCCTCGCGAGCCGAGCGGCGTGCCCTGCACCGTGGTGGTGTGCAGAAGAAGTATCGGGGCTGCCCCGCGGCCGGCGATTCAGCCCCTCCCTGCCCTCCACCAACTCCGGAGCCTGTCCCGGTCCCTAAAGAGAACAGACCGCGCCCCCTTCACCCCGGAACCCCGACTTCACCGTGGCACCGGGGCGCGCCCCCAACTCACCGAGCGCGGGCGTCTGGACGCACGGGCTGCGCGCGGGGCGAGGCGCCGGCTGTTTTGAAGCTCGGGGCAGGGACTGCGGCCTCCTCCGCCTCCCCGGCCGGGCCTCCTCCCCGAGGCCCCCTCCTTTCCGAGCCCGCCTCCCGGGCCGTGATGTCAGGAGCAGCCGAGCCCAGGGGGCGGGATCGCGGAGCACCGCAGGGGACCCCCCCACCCCACAGTCTCCACCCCGCGCCCTGCGGAAAGTTCAAGGCGGAGTCGGTATAGGGCAGCGGCGGGGCAAAGAGGGACGTGGAGAAGTCAGCAGGAGCTGGACGGCTCTGGCTACTGCGCTCCCTTCTCTAGCGCCCTTTTCTCTTGCCCACCAGCTGAGAGCCGTGGGATCCTGCTTCCTTCTTCAGCATCCCTTCTCCGTGCTTTTTATTAACAGCACGTTCTTGATCTCCCCTGCCTCAGTTTCCTCTAATGGAAATGAAAGGCATAGTAAAATCTTCGTCTAAGGCCTGGAGATGAAACCTTACAGAGTGCCTGGCGTTTGGTGAGCACTCTGTCCATGTTAGCCTTGGCTGAGAAGGTGGAGTCTACTCTGCTTTGGAGTGAGGGACTGGGTCCTAGTGATCAGTTTTAAGATTCCACCAAGTAGGGCCAGGCCTGTAATTCCAGTTACTAGGAAATCTTTTGCAGAGGATTCCAAATTCAAGGCTCACCTTAGCTACAGAGGGAGTTCAAAGCCAGCTCTCAAAATTAAGTAAGACCCTGACTCAGAGTAAAAAGAGCTGGTGGTGGTGGCACACTCAGGAGGCAGAGGCACGGGGGGGAGCTCTGAGTTTGAGGCTAGCCTGACTGCATAGTGAGTTCCAGGCCACCTGGGGTTACATAGTGAGAGCCTGTCTCAGAAGTAAATAGGGTACAGTGGTGGATCCCTTACCTAGCATGCACAGGCTGGTGGGTTCCCCCATATTCTTCCATATTCCCCCATGAAGCCACCTCCCCAACTAACACACACACACACACACACACACTCACTCACTACTCCCAAAGTCCTTTGAAATCCCAGTCCTGGAATTTATTATTCCCGAAAATGACCAAAAGGCCCAAAGCCACCCTTCTTTCTAGCCTTTTTCCCCATCTGAAAACAGCAGGCTGACAGCTAGAGGATCTTGGGAGGATCTTGGGAGGACCCAATGGAAACCAGTGGGGCCTGAGCCCCATCCTGTGTATTGAAGGTATATTTAAAAATTGAAGATATTCCAATGCAGGGCCAGAGCATATTACAGTATTTTTTTAGGCTTCTAATTGAACAGGTTTTTGTTATTTGTCCAAACCAATAATGCAAGGCAACTGACTTGTGCCTCTCACAAGAAATAGGAACTTACTGCGCAATTGTGTGGTCTCACTTGGACACTGTTTAAATATTCTTTCTTTTCTCTATTTTTCTTTCTTTTTTTTTAAAGATGTATTTATTATTATTTTTGTGTGCATGATGTGTGTATGTGGGCACCTGTGTCATGTCATGGAGCATGTGTGGAGGTCAGAAAACAACTTTGTGGTGTCAGTTCTCTCCTTCAACCTTTAGGTGAGTTCTGGGGATTGAACAGCAAGCACCTTTACCCGTTGAGCCATCTTACTAGTCCAATTCTTTCTTTCTTCCTTCCTTCCTTCTTTCCTTCCTTCCTTCCTTCCTTCCTTCTTTCCTTTCTGTTTTCAGTGTTTTGCTTTTTGAGACAAGGTCTTGCTTACGTAGGCCAGGCTGACTTTAAAATCTCAATCCTCTGGCCTCTCAGCCTCCTTAATACTGGAGTTTCAACAGTATAGCGGCAGCTTGGCCACCCCTAGCCAGAATGCTACGTTTCAGTGTTCTACTGGATTCATTTTTAAATCCTGTTGAAGAGCTTTGTGATGAGAGGAGCTTATTGAGTCTATGTTAGAGTGGGGGATGTAAGACCCCCACTCCAAAGGGTCATCCACCCTCCCAGGCTTTCAACTGCCCCAGTTGGTCTAAGGTCTCACTTGTCCAGGCATGATGAATAAAGACTCTCTCCCAAAGTGAGAGAGTCATTGGACTTGACTGGGAGCAGGTGTTGCTTTGACCTGAGGCTGTCAGCCCCATGGCTACCTGGAAACAGGAAAACCAAACGTTGTCAGAACGGAAAGTCCAGGTAGTTTTCATCATTTGTTGAGCACCTCCTATAGCCAAGTTCTCTACAAATGAGATTTTTGATTGTTCAGACAGGGTCTCATGTAGCCTAGGCTGGCCTCCAACTTGCTATGAAGCCAAGGATGATCTTGAACTTCTTCTGATTCTCCTGCCTCTACCTGCTGAGTGCTGGGATTATAGATATGTGCATCCACTATTGGTTTTTGTGGTGCTGGGAAAGAAACCAAGAGCTTTGTGAGGCTAGGCAAGCTGAGCCACATACTTAGTCTGACAAACATTAGCCCTGGGTGACACAACAGCCCTGCAAAAGAAGTTGCCCTCATTTTATCCAGGAAGAAACTGAGGCTGAGAGGAAGCTTCAAAGGGATCTTGCCCAAAGACCTCATGGGAGTGACAAAGTGTGGATCTGAACCCAGGCCAACTGCATCAAGCCCCGTTCTGCTCTTTCTATTCTCTCTTTACCAAAGTAAATGAACTATTTATTTTAATATATTTATTTGAAAGGAAGCCCTATGTCATCAAACAGGAAGCTAGTGCCATCCTCCAAAAATAGGAGATGAAGACAAATTTACAAATATAAACACAACCAAAATAAAAGTGTTAGTAAATTGCAGCCAGATGGTGTTTCCTGAGTGGGGCTACAAGCCCAAGGCTTAAGGTCTACTGAAAAGAGAGATGGAGACAGTCACAGTTATAGGAGCTAAGGCAGAATCCCTGGAAAAGGGAACTGTGTCCTCACCCTGAAGGAACTCTGGCATTGCCTCCTCCCAACATCTCTCCTGGGCCTCCAGATGAAGGGGTGTGTCCTGAATTGGGAAGAAAATCAGGACCTGAGAAAGGAAAGGGCCAATCGAGCCACTCCCATTTCTAGACCTGTTGAGCCCCACCCTCCAACCCCATTCACCTGCCTCTTGTTGTCCTTTATTCTCTTTAAATACACCCTTCTCTCTCCACTTGGATCCCTGCTCCTAGTATTTCAATAATGAACTTGAGGCCCCCAACATGGAGTGAAAGCGAGGGTGTGCTCCACAGAGTTCTCACTCCCAAAGCTTCAGCCACCAGATGACTTAATACACATGCCCACGCTAGCTGCTCTTGGTGGGTGGGACTTGTATACACACACACACACACACACACCCCACACACACACACCCCACACACACACACCCTTGATCTTGAGCTGGACCATGTGATTTGCTTTAGGCAATGAGCAGTGAAGAAAACGCTTGTGAAGACAAGAAAGACTTTTGGGCAGTAGATGGGCATTCTCACGTTTTTCCCGTTTCCATGAGCAAAATGTCATTCTGGTACCCTACTGGCCCTAGAAAAATGAAAGACGCCTGGATCAGGGACCCTGGGTAAGTGGCAGGACATCCATCTGAGACACAGAGGTGATGAGAAATGCATGTCCATTTCTGTATGCCACTGAGGCCTCGTGGATGTTTATCACACAGCAACAGCTGGTTAATAATAGGATCATCTTGTGTGGAGATGGGGTGCATTTGAAGGCACAGAAGGTCACAGAAAACGATGGGATGGAAGAAGGATTGCATCAGAGTTGAGAAGAAAAAGAAATAGAGAGACTCCAGAGATGACTCAGGTGTTGAGAGTACTTGGTCCCCAATCTTAGCACCCCTGTAACAAGCCAGGTATCCCTGGAAATACCTGTAATCACAGCTCAGAAGGGGCAGAGACAGGAGGATCTCTGGGCTTGCTGGCTCCCAGCCTAGCTGAGACACAGTCCCAGGTTCAGGGAGAGACCCTGCCTCAAAGATGAATAGATGGGAAGTGATAGAGGAGACATCTGACACTCTCTTCTGGCCTCCACTTGTACACACATACACACACGCACACACACAAACACATGCACACAGGCATACACACAGATGGGGGAAGAGAGAGAGAGAGAGAGAGAGAGAGAGAGAGAGACCAGGCTTGGTGGCATATGCCTTTAATTCTAGCACTCAGAAGGCAGAGGCAGTCGATCTCGAGCTCTGTGAGCTCCAGGTCAGACAGAGCTACATAGTGAGACCCTGTCCCAAAAGAAGGAGGGGAAGGAGGAGGAAGAAGAAGAAGAAAGAGAGACATGGGGGGAGCGGCTCAGATTCTGTCAGTTTCTTGCCAGTGCTCCTGTGAGCTCTTTTTCTCTCAGAAGGAACGAGAAGTTAGCCACACCTGGGGAAAATCTGATCATGGCTTTTGACAGTCTGTATTAGTTACTTGTCTAGTTGCTGTGACAAAATACTTGATAAAAGCAACCTAAGGAAGGAAGAGTTTATTTTGGCTCAAAGTTTGAGGGCATAGTCCATCATGGTGGGAAGTCTAGATGGCAGGGGCATGAGGCAGCACCACATTGCATCTGCAGTCAGGAAGCAGACAGAGGAATGCTGGTGCTCAGTGCTCCTTTGTACTCAGTCTGGGATCCAAGCTGATCAGATGCTGCTGCCTATGTTCAGGATGGGTCTTCCCACCTCAATTAACCCAATCTAGAAACTCCCTTACAAAAGTGCCCAGAGGTTTATTTCCTAGGTGATTCTAGATCCCATCAAGTTAACAACTAATAGACACCATCACACAGCCTGACAGAATTGAAGTTGTATCAGACTAGGTCATGGGGAAGACAGTGTGGGTTCTTGTTAAAGGGGATGGGGACTTTAAATGAAATATGATTTATGTCATAAGATCACTAAGGAATAATCAAATATGAGTGTGATTCAGCCATCATGGTTGGAGGGTTATTTTGGTCCTCATAGGTATCAGGGAGCTTACTGACTTCCATTCAGGGACCATTTCTTTTTTAAAACAGTTTGATGGGTAGACTGCTGTGGTGCCCCCATGCCCCTGGTGCTTGGTAGTCATGTCCTTGTGAGACTGTCTCCTTCAGCAGAGGGCTGATGCAATGACTTACTTCTAGTGAGCATATTAAAAGTGATAGGTATCGCTTGACTAAGCAGCAAAATACTGTGGCATGTCTCACCAGCTGACTCTTCTCTGCTGCCTTCAAGGCTAAAATGCTTCCCTGTAGTGAGCTGTGTTGTTAGGCATCCCATGAGGTAAAGATTGATAGATGTAGCCTGAGGGTAAAGACTGACAGATGTAACTGGGTGTG